ATCATCCGGGACTTTAAAGTGTGACGCGCGCGAAAATTAAACTTGTCTTACCTGCCCTGTAAGTCCAGCGCGTGTGGTGGTGAAATTAACCTCAGATATGATAGCAAACCCGTCTGGTGGCAGCTCAGGGTGGGGATTTCTAGTGGTCATAAACAACCTAGATAGAGGAAGAAAAGAACGCGCGATTTCAAAACGATTCTTACACTGCTTATTAGTATTCCTGACTGCCTGCGTCTGTGGCTGCGAAGATGTATGACGAAGCGGTTTTACCGATGTTCCGTATTTGTAGAATGAAAGAAGGAAGAGCTAGAGAGCTAATAAAACGGAACATTGACCAAACTTACCTATCGTAACCACAAGGGAAGCTAGAACTCTCAAAATGTGGTTTAACAACCAGTAGAGCCAATAAGAGTATATAGTCAAACCCCGCTTCAAGGACACCCACTTAGTATGGACACCCACCTAGTACGAGCACCCCGTTAACATGGACACTTTTTACGGCCCTCTTAGTGTCTGTATTAACACGGTTTGACTGCACTACACTTTGGTCCCTATAGACTATAGTTATAAAGCTGTTTATACCGGCCTACGGTAGAAGCTAGAGAACATGGCAGCGTAATAAGATGCCAATAAAAGGCGAACGATCTTATTTGTTTGTCTGTTTCGGATTTTTTCCGTATTTTTTTATACACGGGAGAAAAGATCGCGCAGATGACAAACCAAGTGAGCGCCGAGCAGCGACAATCGCGAAATGGAGGAAAAGAGAGACGAGCTGTTCTGTTGCCTTCCTCTCCATATTTTTTGCTTTATTATAACTCAACTTGCATGCTCAAGCATCGCAAAAAGAAAGTCTAACTTGCTGTTATCCATTTGATGTTGTTGTACTTACTTAAAGTCCTCATTGTAATCGATCACCTTTTCACCAATCTGCACGACGTAACGAGGACCTAAACAAGCAAATAATACATTACTTTTAGGTGCAATCGTGAGGGGCTTTCGCTGTCGCACTCGACCACTCAGTCCTTAATTTATATTAGGCCATGTCCACATGTTTTTGTAGAACAAATTAAAAAGGATGGCGTCCGTCCACAAGCGAATTATGTAAACGACAGTTTTAAAGGCGGACAAGAAACAAAACGGATACTGAAAACATTGCTCGTACAGACAGGTTTTGACGTGTAAGCTCGCATGTATTTACTTTATCGACTTGAGTGGAATTAGTCGTGTGACGAGGGTTCATGTATCTGATTGTTTCTCTTGCTATTCTGCAGCAAAATAAAATTACTGACAAAAACGCTTACAATTAAAAATAAGATGTCCTCTAAGAATTCGCAAAAAATCAGGTGAAACTTGCAAAAGATCTTGATATTCGGAGATGTCAACTGCAGGATTGCAGTTGCGCAAAAGAAACGAAACTATTAAATCCAAATCTATACCGGAAGAGCTATTGAAAGACAAACGCAGTCAATGGGAAAAACAGGCCACTAAAGCTGGTAGTTAACGACCCCGAACAAGCTGAAAAGGGGAACTTTACCATGCAAGTAATAAATGTCGATCCCCACCTTGACTAATAAAATCACCACGGAGGATGGGGAACAAGACGGGTTCCACACCGTCCATTTCCTGTATTACAAGCGTCTTTCCAAACCGTACGGCCAGCTCAAGCGCGGTTGAGAAGTTAGAGTCCTGAAAGGAAGAATGATACAAGGGCAACGGTTGTAGTACTTTTAGTTTTTCGGAAACAGGAAATTGGACTTTTCTTGGACTTTATTAGTTTTGAAGACTTACAAATTCGCCCAGAAGGCATAAAATGGTGTCAAACGACAAAATGGCAGACAACGTATAGTCTCTAAAAAGTCTTCTAGCACATGGAACACAATTTGCTTCTCCATTTTAAAATTAGAAGGATTTTATTTACCATCTTTCAAAATATTATTTACCACCGCAGAGACTATCTCAGAAGTAGAGAATACAAACTTTTGAGTACCTGTTGGTTGATGACTTCAAGCCTCTGATCCTTCAGATGAGCTTTCAACCATTCGGTCGCACGAGATGATGGGTCAACCAAAAACGGTCTCACAGTACTCTGTCAAAATACAATTGTGACAGTAGATTTGATAACAGGTATTGGGTGAACAGAAGGACAACATATGGAGACAGCTAAAATATGTGAGTCTTATCAAGTGTAAAGCATGTCACTGGCTTTATCATTTTGAAGTACGATATTAGAAACGATCTGGGGTGCTTCATTTGACATCCAGACACCGAGACGTTAGTGAAAAGATAAAAAACGTTTTAATAGACCCCTTTACCTTGTGTGTTTTGTTTTTGCAATATGAGTCGTTTGATGACACTCTACAGAACGGGTTTGTCATTCACAGGCATATGAACGTCTAGTTTGTGAAAAGGTGAAGGACGAATTTTTCTGACAATGTCAGGTGACCGACACTGGGAGATTAGCTAAAGTGGTCTATTAAACTACTGGATAACTACATTGAACGCACTACAATTTTCCCACAATCATCTGTGGGCCTTAAAAACGACCAGCCAGGTTAGCACAAAGTACGTTTCTTATGCGCTGTTTTAGTACAAGGATTTTTGAGTGGTACTTCACCATAACGAAGATGAAATTTCTAATAGAAGACGCTACAAATGGACAAAGTTACCTTCAATATAACCAGTGCATTCTCCATGGACAAGTCGTCAGAAGGAAGTCCCTCAGCCTTCCATCCAAGCTGCTCACTTTCTGTGCTCATGAACCTTCTGAAGTCAAATCCCTGAAGCCCTGCTGCTTCGCACCATTTGGCCATAGTNAAGTCTTCTAGCACATGGAACACAATTTGCTTCTCCATTTTAAAATTAGAAGGATTTTATTTACCATCTTTCAAAATATTATTTACCACCGCAGAGACTATCTCAGAAGTAGAGAATACAAACTTTTGAGTACCTGTTGGTTGATGACTTCAAGCCTCTGATCCTTCAGATGAGCTTTCAACCATTCGGTCGCACGAGATGATGGGTCAACCAAAAACGGTCTCACAGTACTCTGTCAAAATACAATTGTGACAGTAGATTTGATAACAGGTATTGGGTGAACAGAAGGACAACATATGGAGACAGCTAAAATATGTGAGTCTTATCAAGTGTAAAGCATGTCACTGGCTTTATCATTTTGAAGTACGATATTAGAAACGATCTGGGGTGCTTCATTTGACATCCAGACACCGAGACGTTAGTGAAAAGATAAAAAACGTTTTAATAGACCCCTTTACCTTGTGTGTTTTGTTTTTGCAATATGAGTCGTTTGATGACACTCTACAGAACGGGTTTGTCATTCACAGGCATATGAACGTCTAGTTTGTGAAAAGGTGAAGGACGAATTTTTCTGACAATGTCAGGTGACCGACACTGGGAGATTAGCTAAAGTGGTCTATTAAACTACTGGATAACTACATTGAACGCACTACAATTTTCCCACAATCATCTGTGGGCCTTAAAAACGACCAGCCAGGTTAGCACAAAGTACGTTTCTTATGCGCTGTTTTAGTACAAGGATTTTTGAGTGGTACTTCACCATAACGAAGATGAAATTTCTAATAGAAGACGCTACAAATGGACAAAGTTACCTTCAATATAACGAGCGCATTCTCCATGGACAAGTCGTCAGAAGGAAGTCCCTCAGCCTTCCATCCAAGCTGCTCACTTTCTGTGCTCATGAACCTTCTGAAGTCAAATCCCTGAAGCCCTGCTGCTTCGCACCATTTGGCCATAGTGGCCTTTCTCACGTCTTCTGGGGCACTACTCAGGTAAGTGATAAATCCTGCAGCTACTTGAGCCCGCCTGGGCAATTGCTCTAGTTCAGCGGTTAGTTCGTGGACCTGAGTGGCAGAGGCAAGTCTGAGTCAACGTTGCCGTATTATTATTACAATCATGAACAAAAGTCCTTGGGACAGTACTGCAGTGTTCACAGTCTTCTGTCACTTCTGGGTTCCCCCATAAAACAGCGCATCCTTTTCGAAATTTTCTTGCAGTTCTCCCTTCCCCCACCCTATACAAAGTTGAAACTCGGAAAAAATTATGGATACACGCGTCCAACATTGTTTTGTAGGGTGAGGGGAGGGGTTGGGTCTGTATGAATTGGAAAACGCCCCAGAAATGCAAGTGTCCCGAGACTTTTACCCATGATTGCAGTCTTGTTGGCTTAAAGTAAGACACCCTGCCAGCTGTGCCTCCTCATGTCTTCTTCTTGACTGAGGAGGAGAAAAGACGGCTCCGCTGTAATCGCGTCAAGTCTTAAACGCCGCCGCAGCCCAATCGTCTGGACTCGTCGAACCGGTTTGTTGAGTGAGGAGGAGCAAAGGAGACTCTGCTTTAATTGCGTCAAAACTTTGAAGTCGCCGCAGGCCAATCTTCTGGACCAGTCAATCTTGGCCGCTTCCAATTCAACCAAAACGTCTGGTTTGAATTTGTGGCAAATTCCACTAGCGAATGCAACAGCATTTTCCAAAATTTCCAAAAAAGAGGCTAACCTCGTGAGGTATACCCAAATTTTCGAAAAAACTTTACACGGAAGTTTTGCTCCTGGAATTTCGAGAATTCGCATTTCGGAAATTCAACAGCTTTCGGAATTTCTGGAAACTTTTGTGGGAAATTTCTGTACCATTTGCCGCTGTTTCCAAATTTTCGCAAGTTTTGGTTGAATGGAAAGTGCCCCTTGTCTCCTCGCGTCAAAGCGGTTTTTTCGAGAGCGCACATCCAATTATAACTGAGCCCACTGTACCAAGCGCACGGCTATTAGGCCTGAGTTCGCAATTCTGTTTTCAAGAGAGAGAAATTTATTATACACGCGAATTAATTGTAATTGTGCACCGTACCTGCCCTGACCATCTCTTGAACTCGCCATCAAGTTTAGACACAAGCGTCTCCGCTGCTTGAATGGTCTCTTGTGCCTTGTCTAACTCCATTTTCAGCTGTGTAGCTTCCTGAGTCCTTAACTCAAACCTAATCAACAAGAAAACAGAAATTAAAGAAAAGGACAACTGGGTAGCTGTCAACAAAAACATTCAAGCAAGTATAACGCGATTTTCAGCCAGACGTGAAGGGTCCATCTATTTCGAAATGTATGGATTAGAAATTCGACTACTTGTAAGAAATGGGTAAGATTTATTTTATAAACTACTAGAAGTAATTTACCAAGTTCAAAACTCGAGGTACAGCTTAGTGTTTAAAACACGAACAGTGGGTTCTTTAAACGGATCTAAAATATTTGTCTTTCAATCTTTAGAATTACTTTGGCAAAGAAATCTGAAACTCACTAAAAGCAACGTTTTACCAGCTTAAAGAACACTCTCTAAAATATAACTTCGTTACGTTATAAGCCAGTTTTTTTGCATTGCCTTAGTACATGCTTTTACAAAACGTGGAATGGTCAAAGACCATTTGCCAGGGGGAACTTAGCGGCCGGCTATCTTCAGTGACACTACCTTTTTCTCATCTCTGCCACTTCTCTATCCACCTTATCCAAGGCGTTCCCTAATTTCACAAGCCTCTGCTGGGACTTGGCAAGATTCCTAGATAAGACAAGGCAAATAGTATTTTATTTTTAGAAAATAAAAACAGAGTACATGAATAAATTGGTTTGAAATTTACCACTAAAGGATTTTTCTTTATGATTCAGTTATTACTGAGTCTGTTCTCAATTAATGATAGAATTAATAGCACAAACGAAACGAGAGATAGCTTGGGCGATTACAAGAAAGAAAAAAACAAACAAGCAAAAAACAAAAAAATAAGATCTTCTCTTAGCTTAGGTCACTGTCGTCAATACATGTACTTAAGTGGACCAAGTTCCCAACACGTTGTAAAGTAAAACTTGTTCGATAAACGTTCATTGCCCGTAAACACACCTATCACCCTCATTCAACAAAAGCAATAGACAACAATTCTTTATTTGCCAAAAGGCACTTACTTTTCCAGTTGAGCCTGCTCGTTTTCCAGCGGTTCAATCTTCTCAAGAACCACAGAGAACTTCACGTTAGCTACAACCCAAGCAGCCAACGGAGCAGCAGCTACACTGGCTCGCTTGGCAATCTAGGTAAGAAAGAATTCCTCGCAATTACTATCAATAATGGGGGAGCAGTCATTGCGTGGGTGGACCGCAAGCAGTCACTTTTCTTGAAAGTTAGTTGGGAAGCAAATCAGCGTGAGAAGAAATTTTTTTTTTTTCTTTTCTGTATAAAAATCAACTAAAAAACTAGGATATGAACTTACCTTAGGATCAAACGAATTAGCATTTTTTTCTAGCAGTTCTTCCACACTAGCTCTGATTTCAGGAGTGATTTTTCGGGCATCAAAAGAGCAGATTTCATCCTTCACACCACGTTTCGCAAGAAAACTAAACAGATAATATAGTGTAAATTAAAAAAGAGTTTAAAATACTATTTGCAAAAACACAAGCGCCAGATGGTCACTGAGGTTACGCCTTCACCGTCCGACAGTATTCTAGCTCCCAGTCTGAGAGTAAACACACTAAAACAAAAACGTCCTAAAATATACGACTGACGGTTTTGTCTTGAAAGCCGCAACGATTTTATTCGTTTTCGCAGTTATGTAAACAAAGAAACCTTTTCTTACTACTTCGCTGCTTAAGGCTCTTTCAAATAAAAGGGATTTAGGAAAAGGCACGTGATTTGAAATCATGTTGCGTCAAGGGTCAAAGGTTAGTTTTAGGTGTTTCGTGAACATTAGGAGAGGTCCTGTCTTATCAACAAAGAAAACTTAGACCCTGTTTACATGGAGTGGGGGATCCAGGTCTAGTGGGGTAGGTTTCTTTTGTTTTGTGTCCCCCAGAGCGTAAAAACAAAAGAAACCAACCCCACTAGACCGGGGTCCCCCACTCCATGTAAACAGGCCCTTAGTCCCAGAACTACACCTGGAACGAACTTGGAGATTTAAACGGACGAATAGTTCGTGTTTGGTAACAGAATTATACATTGTCCAAGATTATTTTATTCACATGTTGTTCTCAGTTTGGTTAAAATATGTGAAGTGGAGAGAATTCTAAACACGTGATACAAAGCTCACCTTTTCATGCTGACCCACGAGGTATCAAAAATTCCCATCAGCCTTTGCACAGCCTCTAAGATGTCCCGGATGACATCAGGAGGCATGCGCAATGCTCGAATTTCAGACAGCGTCTCGGGTTTGATGTTACCGACGGCATCTTTAGCTTCCTGCACGAGCGGTTCAATCTCTGATAACTCAATCTCGATGGCCTTCTTTCTTTTCTCCAGTTTGAGGGACTCTTCTCCTTGCTTTTGTTTTAGTGTTTCCATTTCGCTTTTGGACTCACTGGCACGCTTTGCGAATAAACATTAGAGAACGAGGAGTTTAAGCGTTGGTGAAATATTAACACTTACTTCTCACTGAGGGCTAAATGATGGCTTAGGGGAGGGATAGGAGGGCAGTTTCCCAGAAATCTAAATAGATCCAAAAGGTTGATCTGGGCAAATGTGGGCAATCACAAAACTAACCTTAAGTAACAAAAAAGGAAAGATAATGTGCTAAAATATCACATTTGCAATAAACGAAAAACGGCAGAAATAGTCAAGCGATTACTAATGTTTCGATGTATTCGAACACGTTTGAAAGGTAAATTGTTAGTTGGACAGAAGTAAAGTAAGATTGGTTGTTTACCTGCATACTAGCGGTTATTTCCCTCAGTGCTGCATCAGCTTCTGCCTGTTTTTCAGCCAATTGTTGGCTTTGCTCTCCTGCTTTTTGTTTGAGATCATCGACGAGTGCTTTGGCGTCAGTGAGCTTCGATACACCAGCCTTAGAGGAGAAAATTAAGCTGTTTATTAAATTAAGGTGGAATCCGATTCTACACATCCTAAATTTGCATGCTGTAATGGCCTCGACTTTCCCAATTGTCAAAGACTCGGAACTCCCACAGCCGAAAAATGAAACTTCAAAGATTGAATTACCCTGTAGTGACTAGTTCTCCAGGTGTCAAATTTGTTGCGCCGGACTGCACCAAACGCTCGCCACACATTAGCTCCAGTTCGCTACTAGCGTACTGAGAACTCTACCTAGTGAAAACTTTGATCATAGTTATTCAGTCCTGATGACGAACTCGGCAGGTGAGAAGCGAACGAGCAGCGAACTCAAATTTGTCAGGAGGCGAAACAGTCTTAACCCAGACTATTCCTCTATACAACCGCTCGATAACTCCCAACTCACGGTTCAGCACCTCAGGGTAAACAAAACCCGAAAGCGACAGCTACGACCTAACTAAAGGGCGAGCTTTACAACGTCAAAAACACAGGCATTAAAAAAAACAGAAGCAACAAACAGTGGACCAGACGGGCCCTTTCAGACCTCGGTAAAGTTGTACAGACTGAACCATAATGCTCGAGTACCTATTGACATTCACTTGAAAATTACACTTGTAAAAGTTTTACTAAATGCGAAGTTTTCCTGATTTCTATTTTGATACCTGCAGATGCTGTTGCCGCTTGACCACTCCTTCCTTCTTCTCGTTGTACACCTGTTTATAAGTCTTCAAGAATGTCATATATCTTCTCGGGGCAGCATCCTTGTCGCTGCATGACTCGTGAATCTGGAGGAAGTTCTTAACTAATTCCTCTGCGCCTGACTTTCCATCCTTCCCCTTGGTTCCCTCACCGCTGTGCAAACCTTCATCAGCAAGAAGCATTCCAGGTACTAAGTAAAAAACAACCAGTAATTATTGCTTGCATCCGTGTTTTCTTTTTTCATTTTCACTTTCTCTTTCACTTTCCCGTTGTAATAGCCGTAGTGACATCTTAAAATAACAACACAAAAAGAATTTTAGTTTAGCATCGTCGACGCTTACGTTCATGTACCAGCTTTGGAAATAGGTGTCACTGAGCATGCATGCATTCTCAAAGCTGGTGAACTACTTAACAGCCTAATTAGTTCACACTCGTTGCTAGCCGGATGACTTTATGTTCAAACTCACCGTAGTTAAAAGGACTCCGTTGGTTTTCTGGAACTAAATTAGCATGATCTTAACAGTTTAAAATTACTCTTGTTGGTGGGTCCGGCGGGGGTTGGACCCCGCGAGACCGCTGCTCTATCAACTGAGCTAACTGGGAAGTTAAGCTAATAACCTTCCAACCTCGTTTAGGGGATCATAAAATGATTAGGTACGAAAATGCGTTAACAGTGATTCTTCGTTGAACTCTATTCAACTCCACATCCCATTTCTCGCGTACTCAGCGTCCTTAGTGAAAAAAAAACTTTTGTTGCTGTTGCTGTTATCTTTTTTTAATTGCTTGTTTGTTTGCAGGTATCTCCTACTTCCTCAGGGGCTCAGGGCTCATCACACGAACGAATAAACACGTCCCTGTGATAAAACAAAACAAAAAAAAAACAGAGAGAAAAAAGCGACGTTCCTCACTTATTTACCTCGGATCAAACCCACTTACTTTGCGCCATACTTTCTCTGTTCCATCCCTCCATCCACTGGAATGAACAGCTCTTGTAAAAAGCAGGATTAGACTCGCAGTTGCCTGTAAATGTCTTGGAGGATGAGTCCATGATCAGTACAATATGCAGGTTCCTCTTCACTCGCGACGCGAAATACGAGACCAGCGTGCCCCGGAATCCATCTTGAGAAGCAAGATCCCTCAGCGGACCCAACAAGGGCTCTAACTCCTCAGGAGTGTATAATCCTGGAACCTCTCCTGCGCTCAACAGGCTGTTGATGAGTTCCAAGAAACTTCCGTCCACCTGGTGATCTTCTAAGATGAGGACTACTTGTTCTCCTTCAATACCGGACAACTGCATAACCTGTAGGACGGTACAGCAGATGCTAAATTACCTTTCAACTCTTTCAGCCCCGATATTCAAATACAAATTCTCCTACCACTGTCCACACATTGTCTTTTAGAATCAGTTGAGAGAACTTGATAAAAGATCAAAGCATTTCTCCTTTGTTGATCACTTTGTTAATTCTCCTAACCCTTTCATTTGATAATGTATTGATATAATTAGGAGAAAATTGATGTTGGTCACTCTTGGGACCTAAAGGTTTAACTCACCAGGATGCAGAAATTAAGACGGAATGCATCATGAAATTGAGTAATTTTAATTTTCAGTGAACAAAAACCTTGTACCAGAATAATTTAAATGATATCGCATTCTTTTTTGCATTTTTCAAGGGCTATTGTTGTAATTGGTTATCTCAGTAATAACACCAAAGAAAATTTCTTATGGGAGCCCGAGAAAATATATGTCAAATTTCACAAGAATTGTTAAAACACAGGTAAAATTCTGAAAATTTCATGTGTAAGATTTCATTTTATGAAACTTGACATTTATTTTCTCGGGCTCCCTTGAGTAATTTTCTTTGGTATCATTACAGATAACTAATTACATCTATATCCCTTAAAAATTGTAAAAAAAAGAATGCGACATTGTTTGAATTACTCTGGTACAAGGTTTTTATCCACTGAAAATTAAAATTACTTACTTTCCCGGTGGATTCTGTCTTAATACCTAAGAAAACAACAGACAGGTGGTAGGAAAAGGTAAATTTATCAGCCAGATAACGTTACAATGATATAAACCCAGATTCTCTTAAATGGACGTCCAAGAAATTGTATGGCAGTCAGAAAGTAGAATTACTGATCAGATCTTAAGGGTTTAAGTATGTTTTGACGCGTACTCACCGTCTTGAGATCAGTCCTAAACTGCTTCAATCCATAGCCTCTTGATACCTTAGGTGTAAACACTTGAATGTTGTGCATGTGTGCGACTAAGGCAGCCGCTGTCCTCCGTCCCACACCACTGCGACCAGCCATTAGGAGCGAGCCGCCAGGTTTGGTGAGCACACGGTCAACACGAGCCACATTGTCAAATACTTCTCTGAAGAGGAGGATGTCCAGTTCACGGTTTTCACGAGCTGCAAAAAAGAATTATCAGCCAAAATGCGATTTTCATGATTACGATACACGATCTAGAGACAATCTTAGAAAAACCGCAGCCAAAAGAAGGTGGAGCCATTGGGCCAGTATCAACTTTGCTACAAATGAGACAAAATTCTCTTTATCCTCTTTTAATCGCTTAAGAACGATTACTACAACGTAAAAGAATAATGTTAGCCTTTCTCCCCATTTCTTTGAACAATCGATAAAAGCCGCAGTATGTCTGTTATACTTTCAAAATTTCAACTTTGCTGTAATCCGTAAGTTCAGTTTCAAACAGAACACTATAATATCTCCGTGACAAAACCCCTTCAAGTTATTCAGCAAGGAAGGGGACCAAGCCCTCGGGCGGTAGGCCAAAGCGAAATCTCACGATACAACAACACTAGAGCCTGCTCGCACACTTGGCCACTTAGAGCATGAGTGAGAGCTAATCTTGCTGTATCAAACAGTTCGTTTGTTAAGAAGACCTGGAACATACCGTAAGTTTTCATTCCCTTGGCGATCACTTGCTTGAAGTCTTTCTGATCCAGTTTACCGAGCATTTTACCCTGGGGAGGAAGGGATCCTCCAGATACTATGGGTACAGCGGCCTCACCATCCTTCCCAGAAGAACCCGCGGGCGTAGCACTGGCAGTGAGGCTACTGCCCCAAGTGACGTAATACTTGTTGTCAAGGCGATCCAAAGTCACTGACCAATCAGCGCGAAGTTGGGAGGCAAGGATGCTGGAAAAAGAACATGACAGGTCACTGCCAAGCTCAAAAGTCTCCGCTTTGATAGTTTTTGGGTTTTTTGTTTCCAGACGTCAACCTTACTGTCAGTGATCGCCTTAGTTCAACAAGAACGCTCTAAATAGGGTGAGTCTCGCTTGCTTGGAGAAAAGTTTTGTTCTCGAAGGCGCCGGTGCTGTTATACTACTTTTTCGTTTGGAATACAAAACGAGTGTTATATGTCATAATGTGAATACTCAAAGCGTAAAAATTGCAAGGAGAGACATTCTGGGCCGGGTTGTTCAAAGCTGGGTTAAGATAACCCAGGGTAAGCACGAAAATTGAATTTACAAATTTAGTTTAAGACGGAATCCATTAGGAAAAAAAGTAATTTTAATTTTCAGTGGACAAAAACCTTTTACCAGAATAGTTTCAATCATATTGCATTCTTTTTTACACTAATAAGTTAAATGAAATAACTCCAAAAGCTTTAAATTTCACAAAATGAATCCTTACGCATTACGACTTTACCTGCGTTTTCTCAATTCCTGTGAAATTTGAAATTCATTTTCTCGGGCTCCCATACAGTAAGAACCTTTCCTCTGGAGTGATTTTATATAACTTATTACATTGATTTAGATCTCTTGAAAAGTGTAATAAAGAACGCGATATGGCTCTTAATATTCTGGTACAAGGTTTTTTTCCACTGAAAATTAAAGTTTCTCAATTTCCTGACGGATTCCGTCTTAATTCTTTTTGTCTACAATATGATTAGAGGATGCTCTAAATAGAATAGAGAAAATTATTATCCTGGAACCTCTCCTGCGCTCAACAGGCTGTTGATGAGTTCCAAGAAACTTCCGTCCACCTGGTGATCTTCTAAGATGAGGACTACTTGTTCTCCTTCAATACCGGACAACTGCATAACCTGTAGGACGGTACAGCAGATGCTAAATTACCTTTCAACTCTTTCAGCCCCGATATTCAAATACAAATTCTCCTACCACTGTCCACACATTGTCTTTTAGAATCAGTTGAGAGAACTTGATAAAAGATCAAAGCATTTCTCCTTTGTTGATCACTTTGTTAATTCTCCTAACCCTTTCATTTGATAATGTATTGATATAATTAGGAGAAAATTGATGTTGGTCACTCTTGGGACCTAAAGGTTTAACTCACCAGGATGCAGAAATTAAGACGGAATGCATCATGAAATTGAGTAATTTTAATTTTCAGTGAACAAAAACCTTGTACCAGAATAATTTAAATGATATCGCATTCTTTTTTGCATTTTTCAAGGGCTATTGTTGTAATTGGTTATCTCAGTAATAACACCAAAGAAAATTTCTTATGGGAGCCCGAGAAAATATATGTCAAATTTCACAAGAATTGTTAAAACACAGGTAAAATTCTGAAAATTTCATGTGTAAGATTTCATTTTATGAAACTTGACATTTATTTTCTCGGGCTCCCTTGAGTAATTTTCTTTGGTATCATTACAGATAACTAATTACATCTATATCCCTTAAAAATTGTAAAAAAAAGAATGCGACATTGTTTGAATTACTCTGGTACAAGGTTTTTATCCACTGAAAATTAAAATTACTTACTTTCCCGGTGGATTCTGTCTTAATACCTAAGAAAACAACAGACAGGTGGTAGGAAAAGGTAAATTTATCAGCCAGATAACGTTACAATGATATAAACCCAGATTCTCTTAAATGGACGTCCAAGAAATTGTATGGCAGTCAGAAAGTAGAATTACTGATCAGATCTTAAGGGTTTAAGTATGTTTTGACGCGTACTCACCGTCTTGAGATCAGTCCTAAACTGCTTCAATCCATAGCCTCTTGATACCTTAGGTGTAAACACTTGAATGTTGTGCATGTGTGCGACTAAGGCAGCCGCTGTCCTCCGTCCCACACCACTGCGACCAGCCATTAGGAGCGAGCCGCCAGGTTTGGTGAGCACACGGTCAACACGAGCCACATTGTCAAATACTTCTCTGAAGAGGAGGATGTCCAGTTCACGGTTTTCACGAGCTGCAAAAAAGAATTATCAGCCAAAATGCGATTTTCATGATTACGATACACGATCTAGAGACAATCTTAGAAAAACCGCAGCCAAAAGAAGGTGGAGCCATTGGGCCAGTATCAACTTTGCTACAAATGAGACAAAATTCTCTTTATCCTCTTTTAATCGCTTAAGAACGATTACTACAACGTAAAAGAATAATGTTAGCCTTTCTCCCCATTTCTTTGAACAATCGATAAAAGCCGCAGTATGTCTGTTATACTTTCAAAATTTCAACTTTGCTGTAATCCGTAAGTTCAGTTTCAAACAGAACACTATAATATCTCCGTGACAAAACCCCTTCAAGTTATTCAGCAAGGAAGGGGACCAAGCCCTCGGGCGGTAGGCCAAAGCGAAATCTCACGATACAACAACACTAGAGCCTGCTCGCACACTTGGCCACTTAGAGCATGAGTGAGAGCTAATCTTGCTGTATCAAACAGTTCGTTTGTTAAGAAGACCTGGAACATACCGTAAGTTTTCATTCCCTTGGCGATCACTTGCTTGAAGTCTTTCTGATCCAGTTTACCGAGCATTTTACCCTGGGGAGGAAGGGATCCTCCAGATACTATGGGTACAGCGGCCTCACCATCCTTCCCAGAAGAACCCGCGGGCGTAGCACTGGCAGTGAGGCTACTGCCCCAAGTGACGTAATACTTGTTGTCAAGGCGATCCAAAGTCACTGACCAATCAGCGCGAAGTTGGGAGGCAAGGATGCTGGAAAAAGAACATGACAGGTCACTGCCAAGCTCAAAAGTCTCCGCTTTGATAGTTTTTGGGTTTTTTGTTTCCAGACGTCAACCTTACTGTCAGTGATCGCCTTAGTTCAACAAGAACGCTCTAAATAGGGTGAGTCTCGCTTGCTTGGAGAAAAGTTTTGTTCTCGAAGGCGCCGGTGCTGTTATACTACTTTTTCGTTTGGAATACAAAACGAGTGTTATATGTCATAATGTGAATACTCAAAGCGTAAAAATTGCAAGGAGAGACATTCTGGGCCGGGTTGTTCAAAGCTGGGTTAAGATAACCCAGGGTAAGCACGAAAATTGAATTTACAAATTTAGTTTAAGACGGAATCCATTAGGAAAAAAAGTAATTTTAATTTTCAGTGGACAAAAACCTTTTACCAGAATAGTTTCAATCATATTGCATTCTTTTTTACACTAATAAGTTAAATGAAATAACTCCAAAAGCTTTAAATTTCACAAAATGAATCCTTACGCATTACGACTTTACCTGCGTTTTCTCAATTCCTGTGAAATTTGAAATTCATTTTCTCGGGCTCCCATACAGTAAGAACCTTTCCTCTGGAGTGATTTTATATAACTTATTACATTGATTTAGATCTCTTGAAAAGTGTAATAAAGAACGCGATATGGCTCTTAATATTCTGGTACAAGGTTTTTTTCCACTGAAAATTAAAGTTTCTCAATTTCCTGACGGATTCCGTCTTAATTCTTTTTGTCTACAATATGATTAGAGGATGCTCTAAATAGAATAGAGAAAATTATTGGAGAAAATACTTTTGACTAAAGAAAAGGAAACCCAGATTTAGATTTAACCCTGGGTCAGCGCTAAACGGCCTTCGAACAACTGGGCCCTTTTGTTTTGTAGGGATAAAAGCTAAGCGTCAGATCATAGTATTGTGACTCATACTACCCCACAGAACGTTACCTGTCAAATTTGTCTAAACCCTGTTTTCCAACAAGTCTATCCCTGAAAAGTCTTCTCGCCTCGTATGCCCAGATTTCTAGCAAATGCTGAGTGGAGCTGTCTCCAGATCCTGAGTCCAGGTTATACCGTAAAAGGCCTAAGATCCAGTTTGTTAGGTCACGTGGGGTAAAAAGGTAGTGGGAGTAGTCGTCTACGGTGAACTTGGCGCGCACCTGAGAAACAACATTTAAAACTTCTCACTCTTTTGTGTCATTTGTTTGCGCAAAGGCATCCCGCCCAATCTGTTTGTGTCATTGTTTCTTGTTTTATAGTAGATGTACCAAATTTGTTGCAAGTTTTATAGTATCACGAAGGATCATGACAAATACGAATAGAATCTTAACTTTTCCTTTTAGCCGTCCCCATGGTCTACAATGAAAATTGACGCGATTTTAAGCGAGTCTAAGTTGCCAGTTGCCAACAATTTGGTCCAACTCCATCCATAATAAAATTTTGGATACAACATGTTGTATCTCTTGGACTCTTTAAAACGTAATATCAAAATTTAAATTCTCGTTGTTGCCCGCATACAATTTCTGTGAAAGTACTGGATAGTATCAATTACATCCAATTGTGTGATCACATCCTTAATTCTCGACACCTTGTGTTTCGTACAGTATTGATATCATAAGATGAAATTTGATGCAGATCACTCTTGGTACAAAAAGAGTTAAACGCGGTACTACTGAACAGTGTTGGATAGCGTTAGATGATGATGTATCATGACTTTTGGGCTCTTTCAAACGAATGCCGGTGTTGGATCAACATGGAGGGGCCGTAACCTGAAAAAAACACTCTTAGTACTTGAAAACCAGGTACCTGTTCATAAACTGCCACCATAGAGCCTGCTAGAGTGTGAACATTCTTCACCGCACCCCACACCGGATGGGACTTTAAAGAGGAACTAAGGACAGGCTGTAGGTAAGCACTGTAAATTGCCTGAAGCTGATCACGATCCGCATAGCTACAACAAATTGAAAAAAAAAATACAATGACATCAAACGAAATCAGAAAAAAAAAGAAAACATTCGCCCACAGTTGCCACAGAAACCAGTTTTCGAAATCTCTGACTTGAATCCCTCCCTAATAACGTCCGCCTCAATTTCTTTAATAAAATGGACGTTTAATGGTTTACATGATTAGTGGCCCCCAATCTTTCCTTAAAGAGTCGTCTGTTTCCAACCATTTACAAACGTACGTTCGATAAACTCCAACGAAACACTTCAACAAATCGATAATGTTGAAATTTCAATCTTTTAACCTTTTGATTATCTGACAATGTGCATGTCTCTGACGATCTACCAGGCCAGAGACTAGTTACCTAAAACCCAATGTCAAGTGAAATTGCTACCATCTGGCAATAGGATGAAGCGTTTGACAGGGCTGTAGGCCAGATGTTAGTTACGAGTGACGTAAAAGAGATATACAACTGGTTTCAGATTTCGTACTTTCCCTTCCCCGTTTCCAAGTGACCAAACATTGTCAATACGACTTTTAACACAGACTGACACTCTGTTAATAGTTCAACTCATGTCTAACATTAACTCAAGCCTACCCTATCGAGCAAACGCCAACAATGGATGTGAATCTTGTGGTAAGTTGATGTCTGCCCATCCCGGTACCAGCACTCATGGAAGCCACAATCTGTACTCCTTCCAGACCGACCCACTCAAGATTAGAGTCATAGAATCCTTTGTAGGTCAACACCTAGAGAAACAATAACCACAATCACAATCACGCGGTAAGAGAGGTCGTCAAAACGACTTAGTTTTACATTTCCACCTCGTAAGAATGGTCCCCGCCACTTTCTCAGCGAATCAAATGGTGACCCAAAACCAATTTAAGCCGTTAAGCCTGGTAATATGTAGCATTTTCTGTGAGCTCTGACTGGATCATTTGATTGTTTTGATTGTACCTTGGGATAGGCCTACAACTGCAGGTCAGCAATAGGCTTCCAATCTGACTCACACTTATAAAGCATATTTCAACGAACATATCCAACATGTCAGATTGTTATTCACGCTGATTACTAAGTGCAAATGTTATAACGGTAAACGGTAGTCTAACCTACTACATCAAGTCTATTAATGAAACTGCCACTGAGTGTTTTTAGCCACAAATTACCAGAACAAAAGCAGATTACATCAGTCAGTGACACAAGCAAATCAGACAAAAATTCGATTACTCACACTCTTCTAGTTACTAGTTCAAAAGCCCTAACACTGAGCTACAGCCCAGCCATGCTAAGGTAAAACTAGGTTTATGTGACAAATTGTCCTAGGTTAGTCTCTCGCGTCTTATCAATCGCGATGCCAAAAAGGAAGGAGGAAACGCGCTTATGCATATCAGTCATAGTGATACTCATGCCAAATATTTCCCATGCACATGCTGGGTGCTACACAAGGTAATATTGATGTTATGTACCGGTAGGGGCAGCTGTTTGTGATCGAAACTAATCTTCAAATCATCGTCAGATTCCGTTTACATGCAAAAGATCCTTTTTAATTTGCGTTTGCCTGCAAATTAGGAAGAGTGGGCTGGATCTCTCGCTATCTTAACACTAGGTTATCTATTAGAAATACCTGTTGCAGAAAGGCGATCAGTTGACTGGTCCCCCATTTGTCAGGTTTTGGTAGGTTAAGGTCCTTCAGATACAGCACCAGTCTCTCGCAATCCTTTGGTCGGTACACTCGTCCAGTGTTTGAACTGATTACCATACAGGACTGTTGGAGCTTCTGAAGAACGTGCATGGGTGTGGTCTGGGCACTACAGTGTACCACAGCTACCTGGGTCGAGCGAAGCTGCTCAAAACAGTGCCTCAACAAAAGCCTACCGTAATAATGCGCCAACATTAAAAGACTTGATTTGCATAGATTAGGGAAAAAATTAAAACAAATTAAATACACCAAATTCAAACGGAATAAAAACCTGTTTCATCGCGTGATGCACAATACAAGTTAAGACACATGCAACACAGTCACACGAGAATATCTAAGGAATGATAATCATGAAGTCAGGGTGTTTCTTAGACTACGAGTAGTCCCCCATTTTTCCTCAGGGATAGTAGAGCAAGCGAAACGCGAGCGCGCGTGAAAATCACCCCACGCGAGAAAAAGCGACACGCCGCGTGTCACCTTTTCTCGCGTGGGATGATTTTTACGATCGCTCGCGTTTCGCTTGCTCTACTATCCCTGAGGAAAAATGGGGGACTACTCGTAGTCTAGGTGTTTCTTAGTGTTGCGGAAACTATTGATTTGATAGTTCGGTGACTTTTCAATCTTTTGTATTACGTCATTTGGTGATTGCATCCATCTGCAACATCATGAAACTACCTGAAGTTAGGGCCTGTTTACATGGAGGTGGGGGACCCCTGTTAGGTGAGGTAACCCGCCTGTCCAGATAATCTCTCATTTTAATTTGATCACGTTTACATGATAGGTGGGGTGACCCGTCGCATGTTAGCTGACCTATCTTAGGTCCCCCACCTCCATGTGAACAGTCCGTTAGTGCTTTTGTGAATGGTCACACTTAAGTTTTTGTGTGCAGACTCAAAAGTTACAGATAAGCTACACGTGACTCCACGATGTTGGTAGTGACAAGTATGACACTCACTCTTTGCCACAACCCTCAGGTCCGACAAGTAGAAAAGACTTCTTGTGATCTGGATGAAGCCAAGGGGAGAACATGTCCAGACCTCTCTTGATATCCGCGGTCTGAATTACTGGCAAGGAGCCTGAAGACAAGGTAAGGTCGTTTACACCAAGTGCGTCTGGTACCTGATAAAACCGCCAAAAAAAACATTAAACGCACGTCGTTTGGTAAATGAAAGGGGCCACTATCTCTTGCGTGGCACGGTAGTTAACTGTTCCATCATTTCTTTAGCTTTAAAGATTTGAGCTTAAATCATTTTAAGTCTATGAATAAACGCTTATTCGACATCTTAAGATGTAATGTAACATTTCCGTAAATATTGGTGGACTTCCACTTACCCAAGAGAAAAGGCTAGTCTACTGGAAAGGGCTACAAACCCAGTATAATATTTTGAAAAAAGCATAGTCCCCATTATTAAAAACGCATAGCAAAAATGTTCTCCTACATGTACCTGTACTGGAAAGCAGAAACGCCGAGGCTATTTTTATCAATGTGTTTAATGATTATTTGCTGTTAATAACAGACTCTTGTGTCCAACAGAAATCTCTTGGTTGATTCGGTTTGCTTCGTAGAACCAAAACCAATATGTCTTACTCCTACTCGTAAAGCAGATCACACTTTCTACAATAAAGTCTTCATCAACGTCTTTAATTGTAAACCGTGTTATACAAGTCTTCATCGAAGACTGTCTAAAAGGATTATTGAGCTCTTTACTTTACTTCAGGGATGATGATTAGATAACTGTAAATTGTTCGACTTGGCACTTTTTCATGAAGCGATTCAAATTCTTCAGACTCCTCATGAAATAAAACTACTTCCTAAAGGGTAACGAGTATTTCTCAATAGTAAAAATTTCTGAGTTCAGCAAACTAAAAGTTTGTTTTAATTTTGTCTTCTAAAGTTCTTATTTTATAGGCAATAATGAAAAGGCAAACTTTACTCCTAAGCTAAGCCTGCTAGCAGGCTCACATGTGCGAGTTCCGGGAAATTTTTTTAGCGGCGGAGCCGTAATCTAGTGGGGGAAAAAACTTTCTAAAACAATTTCCCCAAACCTGCTCGCAGGCTATCATAAGCTTTGTTTCAAACACTAGCCAAAAAACCTTTTCGAAGAAGCAATTACACCCAACAAGTGAAGAACTCAATTTCAGTGGAGAAACTATAGGAAGAAAGACAAGCGAAAGGCTGAGTTTTTGTCTCACGATGGTCTTCATTTATTCGATTTTAAAATGCATGTTAACCCAGCTGACAAAGAATCATAGTGTCCCAGGAGAGTAAGCGGTTTCGTGAATAACACGTTCACTTAACTGGTCAAACCTGTTATTGACTGATTAGACCATGACGTCAGCTCTTCCTCATTGGCTGACCGGCAACCTTTCTATTGTTCTTTTCCCTATATATTTGCAATACCACCCGGATGGTTGGGCGGATCCGTCACACTACCAAACAATACACCTCTCACCTAAACACCTCCACAATACCTTAGAGTACTTCTCATTATTCAAGTACAGCAAACGTCCTTTCCGAGCCATGCATCTCTCATGAGACCCTCCAACACCCACTTGACTTTGAAATATGTTTACTCTGAACCGATCGTGAAGTCACTGTTTTTCCTTTGGTACGTTAGCATACGAATTTGCCCACAGAAAACGTCGGGGCATAAACAAATTGAATTGCAAACCTCAGTGATCTGTGCAATCTTAAGGTCTTCACACAGCATACCTAACGAAATATCTGCTATTAAAATCTACTAGCCGAGCACTGTCACTGTTCTAATTATAAGCAAGTCTGCGGGTCTTCAGCTTAAATGTTCGCAAGAGTTAGATCATCTCCTGCGGTGTTGAAGGAGTGTAAATGATCAGTAATATTTAGTTTATTAGCTCAGTTACGTTGCAATCAGAATTATAAGCTTGACTACACGGGTCGAGCGCGGTTTATACTCAAAAGTGGTCATGCGCAAATTCTCTTCAAGTTGGCGGCAAATTTTTAAAAAGTTTCTTTGATATACATCAAGATAGAAATTTCTTACGATTGCGGTGTCATTGAACGATATCAAACAAGGACGATAATATCCTGTAAAAAAATTCCTTCTCTTAAGTTGCAATAGGTAGCTGGTTGAGTCTATGCATAGTTTTCAGTACGTACGGAACCAAGCTTTCCATGGTGTAGGCAGAGTGGCACTGATCTATTTGGTACCGGGTTGCGTGTGTACCATAGTTAAGTTCTAAGGAGAACGTAATGCTTTCCGTTGCTCAGCTATGACTGCAACACCGGTTTCGGAACCAAAATATTGAACACTTACTTTTGAAACCAGA